CACCCGAAGGATGGACATATTTGAAACTCGGACTTGGCGGGGGTGGGGGGTGGGCAAGGGCAACATACGTAACCTAAACATCTGTACCCCCATAATATGCTGAAATAAAAAAATAAAAAAATAAAAAAAAAAGGATTCATTGAAGGAATTGCAAAATGTAGTTCAATCATTAAAAATAGAAGAGACAGAGCAGAAGAAAGAATTTCAGAGCTTGAAGACAGGTCTTTCGAATTAACCCAGTAAGACAAAAATAAAGAAAAAAGAATTTTCAAAAGTAAACAAAGCCTTCAAGAAGTATAGGATTACATGAAATGACCAAACCAACCTACAAATCATAGATATTACTGAAGGAGAAGACAAAGTAAAAAGTTTGAAAAACTCATTTGAGGAAATAATCAAGGAAAATGCCCCACTCTTGCTAGAGAGTTAGACATCCAGATACAACAGGCTCATACATGACCAGGGAGATACACTGCAAGATGGACTTCACCAAAACATGTAATTATCATACTATCTAAAGTCAACCAAAAGGAAAAAATTCTAAAATAAGCAAGAGTAAAACATCTAATCACCTATAAAGGAAACTTCATCAAACTAACAGCAGAATTCTCAGCAGAAACCTTACAAGCTAGGGAGGATTGGGGTCCTATGTTCAATCTTCTTACGGCAAAAAACAACAGCCATAACTTTTGTATCCCGCTAAACTAAGCTTCATAAATGAAGGAAAAATAAAATCTTTCTCAGACAAAAAAATAATAATTATTATTATTATTATCAAACATGAGTAATGAAAGGAATTATTGTTAGACATCAATCTGATACTAGTGTAAAGAAGAATTTCAACAAAAAATGCCAGAAAAGTAAAACAAGAAAGACTAGAAAATGGATCCATATCTTCTAGATAATTGAGATGACTCCCACAATCTACAAAAGGAAAACCTTAGAAACATCAAAAGTAAGTAAGCTATGACCTTGAAAACTGGAGGGCTGGATATATACATTAGCTAAATAGTTCAAGTTCTATCATCTTTTTTTTTTTTTGAGACAGTCTCATTCTGTTGCTGGGGCTAGAGTGCCGTGGCATCAGCCTAGCTCACAGCAACCTCAAACTCCTGGGCTCAAGCAATCCTGTCTCAGCCTCCCGAGTAGCTGGGACTACGGGCATGCACCACCACGCCTGGCTAGTTTTTCTATGTATTTTTAGTTGTCCAGCTAATTTGTTTCTATTTTTAGTAGAGACAGGGTCTCGCTCTTGCTCAGGCTAGTCTCGAACTCCTGAGCTCAAACAATCCATCTGTCTCAGCCTCCCAGAATGCTAGGATTACAGGCGTGAGCCGCCGTGCCCTGCCAAGTTCTATCATCTTTTAGTGGACATTCAGAAGATGGTGCATATACACGTTGTATCAGCAGTAAGTTTCTTTACAGTCAATAGAAAAAGTGCTATCTATTTTACTGAAGAGTAACTTCTTGTCCCTTATTCCCATCTTTGGTTTATTTTGATGTGAGAAAAAAAGAAAGATCAATATAAGATAGGGAAGGAAAGTTGGGGAGCATTAAACAAGATAAAAAAACTGAGGAGAAAAAATAAGCCATGTCCTTTTACTAATGAAATATCCAAGGTCTATTTAGAAATGTTTTAGCATATTTGAATGGGGCAGTGGGAGTGTTAAGATTGATACAACTGAAAGGAACGGACTATTGTACAATATGTTGACTATTGTTAATAATAATATATTATATTCTTGAAAATTACTGAGAGAGTAGATGTTAATTGTTCTCACCATAAAAAATATGTGAGGTAATGCATATGTTAATTAGCTCCATTTAGCCATTCTACAATATATACATATGTTTTACACCATAAATATATGTAATTTTTATGTGTCAATTAAAATATAACTTTTTAAAAAATGGAAGCAACAGAATTAATATTCATAATATTTTCCCACTGCTTTTGTTAAAGAAACTTTTTTTCCCAAAGAAAAGATACTTAAGAATTCTCTTTAATAGATAACTTAAAATTGTGCATTACTATGATAGCTAAGCAATTCTAAAATTCTGTTGTTGAAATTGAAGAAGCGAAAGATTTGTAGTTTAAAAGTTAGTACTTCGTTATGAAATTTCACCCTTTTTTGCTTCGGTTTCAGAGATGATTCCACAGAAAACAGATAAGGTTGCCCAGAGGGAGAACTAAGGGTTCAAGATTCCAATAAGGTAGTGAATTAAAAATCCTGAAAAGTGTTATGAGACTAAGGAAAAATTAAATGTATGATCTGATGAATGATTGACAACTTAGTGCCCAGGTTCCACTGACCAATATTTATGCGAAAGAAGTGGGAGGTAAAGAGAATTCTGGCAGTTCGTGCCTGCTACTTATGTACTGTCCAAAGCTAGCTTAGCAGGGGAGTGGAGAAGGACTGGGGCTGCATTAGAAAACATCCTCTGGGCTAGCTCTCTGGGCTTGCTTTGAACTCTTGTTCATCATTATTTTATGCTGCAGCTTGTCTTTGTGTTGGTGGAAAGGAAAAGAAAAACACAAGAGACTATCCTTTAGTTTCTAAATCAAAGCTCTGCTTTGCTGACTGTTGGAAGTGGCTTTTCGATGGCAAAGCAAGTGGGGACATTAAAATTCCTTGTTTCTGTGGACCAGGAGCTGAGTTTTGTGGTGTTTCTTTTTTATTATTATTATTTCTTAGATGGAAAAAGAGTATGTTTCAATTTATCTTACATTTACCTTGAAATATTCTTAATTTTTTTTCAATTTGATTGGCACTTGGAGAAGATAAAGCAAGGCGGAGAAACAAAGGGAACTGCAGAGGATGTGAGGAGGCGTCTCTTGTCATAGAATTTCAGAAGTGGAAGGAGTTGGGCTCTTTCTTGATAATGACCCCAAGGCCCAAAGATGTTAAAGAGGTTGCCTAGGATACAGACCCAGAAAGTCGGGACTAGACCCTCCTGGTTGGATTCCTACTCACGCCCCCTTTACACTGCCCTATGCTGCCTCTAGCGTTAGAACGAGAAACTATAAGGAGCGGGTGGGGGAGGAGAAGGCGAAGAAAAGGTCGAGAGGGTTACACATTCACGCCTAAGGAGGGAAGTGACCTCCCTGAGTCGAGATACTTGAACGTATTTCCTAAGAGAAACAGCCCGCTCTTCCTGGCGTTTAATGCGCTGAAGAGCTACCGCTGAGTTACCTACGATGCCTATTTTCAATTTTGGAAGATCCAGCCCAAGGAAGAAAAGAAAGTTAAATCGCTTTCTTGTCACCCTCCACCCCTTCCATGCTGATTGAAGCCACTAGCGTCCCAGGAATACATTTCATAGGCTTGTCGCTTATAACACACTTCCTCGCTTGGGTCTTGGGTGTCTCTTTCAACTCTCTCTCACATTTTTATTCCCTAATCTTTATCTTTGGATTTCTTAAGCTACAAAGTCAACTTGGCACCTTAGGTAGTCATGAAAGATCGCTGGATTCCTTATTTCGGCAGAAGTCCAGAGGACCATTCCTGCCACCTTCCCCGTGTGTAGATACGCTGGGAATACCCTCAGGGGATCATTTACGGAGAGGAAGGGGTGTCTTTCGCTAGACAGCTCGACAAAGTGGTGGGGCGCGGGAGTAGCGCATCCGTTGCCTTCGCCGAGCGGGAACAGCCGCGCGCGTCGGCGGCCGCCCTGCCGCGGAGGCGACCGGCACAGTCACCCACCAGGAATCGGCTGGTGCCGCCGGTGGGCAAAGGCAGCGCCGCCGGCACGGAGGCGGCGCGGAGGGTGGCGCTGGCTGCGTGAAAGGCTTCTTTGTGCAAGAGTGGGCGTGGGGGGCGGGCGGGGAGGAGAGCGCTGAGCCGGGACCTGTAGGCGGGGGTCTGGGGCGTCCCTACAGCCCCCATTCCCCGGCCGCGCCGAAATCCTGAGGGTAGCGCCGGCAGGGGGCAGTGTGGCGAAGCGGAGTTGCTAAGGGGAAGGGGCGCTCTGTTTGGCCCTCTTGGAGGTAGGAGTGCGGAGGAAGCAGCTTGGAAGAAGCTGGGCGGGGGGGGGGGGGGGGAGGAATAAGGGATTTGGCTCCCCGCCCTCTCCCTTAGGTGGCTGAGAGATCACGCTAGCTGCAAGGGTGCAGCCCCTCGCCGGGAGCACATTCCGGGCTCGGAGAGCTGGGAGAGCGGCCCCCGAGGCAGAGCCTCTTCGCCCCCGGGTACTGCTGCCCCCCACCTGGGGCAGAGGGGCGGGCCCGCGCTGCCTTCCCTCAGCGCCTCAGCCGCGTGGCTTGCGGCTTATTTTCCCAGCTGGCAAGCGTCGCGCTGCAGACAAGGGAATGCCTGTGGTGAGTTGTTTATTTTGTCGAAGTTTGCGGTGGGCCAGGGGGACCTGGGGGGAGAGCGGCAGGCAGCGGCTGGGACTGTTTTGTTTAGGTCTCCATCCACCTGTGTGGTATAAATCTGCCAGCCTCAGGGCGGCGGGGGGCCAGGGTAAGAAAGCCCCGAAGCTCCAAAAAGCCCCTTTCGCCACTTGCGGATCTAGGGCCACATTGGTTTCTCCACGCCTGGAGATCCTAGTTGACGCTGACCCCATAGCCCCCATTGACGCTTCCCGCACCCGCCGAGGGCAGGGTTGGCACTCCCAAGGGCAGGTCGGCGCCCGCGACCCAGGGACAGCCAGCCGTTGAACTTCCTTCCCAGTGCCCTTCTGCGATCCTTGAGCACAGGGAGCTGAGGTTTTGGTGTGAAGGGCGCCCGTGAAATTAGTGGGAACGCATTCTAGTGGCTTCTGGCGTGAAGTTCGTTCACGGGTGTCTGGTCTGCCATCCAGTACTACGAACTGGGATCCTGGGTCGAAGTTTCCTAGACTTCGGGCTGGAGAAAGACGGGCGGTCGCCTCGCGGGGGAGCCCAGAGGAACCCCGGGGGCTGGTGGCAGTCACCACTGGCGGCTGCGTTTGCCTGGAAGAAAAGCCTAAATACATTAGCGAGCTGGTAAAGCTTTTAAGGCCTTCTTGGGAGTGAGTGGCTGGCTAATGAGAGGTTAATTTTGTTTCGAAGGGAAGGCTGCGCTGGTTTCCTGAGATAAATGGACAGGAAGCGCATTACCTCCGCGCGCTGGCAAGCGGCTCCCAAATGCTTTTTGCACCTGCCGCTTTGAGCAGTGAGAGCAGCGGCGGAGCCCGCAGGGATCTCGGGCCCGTTGAGTACGCTCGGGGGATGAATCCCTCGCACACCCTAGACTCTCTCCCTCCGGGGCTGCCGCGCTCACACCGAGCTCTGGTGCTCTTCTCTCACACCCAGGTCCCGCGTGTTCTGGAGCTCGGGGGCCGCCTGATCCTGCCGAGCCCCCTCCAGGAGCGGAAGGGTTAAGAATGATGTAAGTACAAACCACTAGCTGCCTGCCGCTGGGCTGTCGGACTCCGGGCTATTTCAGCCCATGCTTTGCGTACACAGTGGACTGGGGAGCAGCAGGGGAGCCCTTACTCTAGAATGGGTTACACAAATCGCAAACCCGGGTCTGATTCCTGATTCCTCAGCCCTAAGAGATCTGTTAAGCAGTCAGAGATCCTCGTGTTAGATTTCTGGAAATGGACATATATTAACTAGGGAACAGTGAAGACATCACCTATAGGTTCAGGAAATGAAACCTCGTCATGTTTAGAATCCATTAATGTTACTGGCACGTGTTTTAATTCTATCTACTTGTACGTTCATACCATAGTATGTTTTTCTGGGTCCCCTGAATGAACTGTTCTAGTCTCATCTTTCCTTCCTGAAAACAAAGACGAAGGGAGAAAGAGTACAAATGGCAAGAAACAGGGTGTATTTGTGAGTTGTACAAATTGTCGGTCACTTCATAATTTTTTTCTGATTAAAATATAAAACTTTTATGTCATCGATTTTATGTTTGCGTTCCAGCTCCCTCCCCAGATTTTCTTTGTAGAGTCTAAATCCTCGTTAACTTGCAGCACAGGAGCTTGAGGGGTGGCTGCGCTATAAGCGACCAATTACCACACTCTTGCTTTCCAAGCCCATTCCTGATCTTGCTAAAAGTACGAATTTACCCGCTAGTGTGTCGTCTGACCTAATGTCTTGAAAACAGGAACCACCTTGCGGCTTAATTGTGAAAATTAGCATTTTCCTCTAGCGGCTGAACATTCATGCAGCAATAAAAAGTGAATTGTTAGGCTTATAAATCTCGAGCTTGTCAGATTTTACAGCAGAGGAACAATAAAGCACCTTAGAGGAGATGAAGTTTTTCCTCTGAAGAACAGTTCCGTTTCACGACACCAGGATTTTCAGTGACTCGAGGACGCCCTCTATTGATAAGAAAATCTGGAGCACCGTGTACTTAAGGAACAGGATATGGGGGGAGGGAGGCGAGGAGGGAAGAAATAGAAAGTCAAGAACGGAAAGACCTAAGCCAAATTGAATTTATTTATCCGTAACTATTGGTTATATGTTTTGAAGTATGGTCAATAAGGTGAGATGCTTCTTTCATAGGGGTTGAATTAAATCTTGGGTTAAGAGAAAAAAACATTTTGCTGTTGGTCTTTGTTAGCCAAATATTTTGGAAATCAGTGTTACATTTGATTACTTTTTAAAAGATGTCTACTAATATTTAATGAACTGTATTACGTTAATTATATGTAGCAATTGCAAAAGAGTAATTTTTTGCTTTAAGAATATTTAGTCCACAGCATTATCTAAAAATGTCAGACACCTCCCCCCAAAAAAGTCATTTCTCCAGGCAACTCTGAAACTATTATTAAGCATATTATGGATATACACAGGGATATACACAAGGCTTGGATTACATCGTGGGTAGTGAAAGGTGTGTTTACCACTTGAGTCATCATAGCATGTAATAAGTAATGAAAAGTTACAGTAAAAACAGATAGGCATCCTTCATTAGGGACCTAGTGGTTTGAGCGATTCACAATGTGAATAATGAGTAAGCTGGTGAGACCAAAGGTTTGCCCCTCAATTATCCTGGTCCATTGATTAGCACATTGAAACGTGTGGAATATTAACATGTCCGTGGTTGATACGGAATTCCTAATTAGAGATTCTGAGTAATGTAGCGAGTAGAGTTGCAAACTGCGATTTGAATGTTAGTGGATTTAAAATGGCAGCTCCGAGCGGTTTAGGGAACGGTACAAGCGAGAGCTGGACGAAGTGGCTTCCAGCCTAGAGGCCACCATTGAGATTAGATACTACTTCACACCTACTGATAACAAATTGAAACCTATCATCAATCTCACAACTCCTGTCTCCACTTGGCAGCCTCTTTCCTTACAGATAATTTTCCCCCTCAATTTTGGACCCATCTAATCATAAATATAGAAACTGACCTGCCATTGAATTAATCTGCTAATAGACTGTAGAAATTTGTAGAAAAACCACTGCACAACAACAAATTGTGGCATAATTACACTGCATAAAAACTCGCCACTCTCATTAACCTAATTGCACTGCAACCGAACACGTTGAAGTTCGCCCACTCGCAGACCCCTCTTCGCCGCTTTTAGGAAGAACGAAACCAGAACACCCGAGCCTCGGGCAGTTGCCAGCAAATTCCTCCGGGAGTTCGCGGATACCTTCCCAGCCCATCCGATCTGCTCCGGACCGCGGGTGTCATTCAGATTCCCAACACGGTTCCGTGCTAGCTTTTTACTACACGTCCGCAACAGGCTCGGAACGTGGATGCGCAGATGTGATTGGCTGGGAGGGGACCTGCCGCAGGGCGCTCCGTGAAAGAGCAGGCTTCCTGCTGGGAGCTGGAGCTGGCAGAGGTGGGGCGGGGGGAGGGGTGATAACACACACACACAAAAACCCGACGCAACTTGGGGAGAAGTTGAACCCTATCACAATAATTAAGGAGAGGTCAAAGGCCGGTCCCTTTTGTAACGATGGCGAGAGTGATAGTTGCCGTCGCCCATTTCTATTGGGCGCAGGGAAACAGTAAATCGCGGAAGCGGGTGGAGGGGAGAAAAGCGGAGGGAGGTTACCGCGCAGCAGACAGGACTCGCCGTGGGCGGACGCGGAACTCGAATTACACCGAACAGGCGGGCGGCGACGCGGGGGCGGGCCCTCTGGGTCCTGCGAGTGGCGGGCTGGGCCCGACGGACGTGCGCTCACAGCCAATGGGGAGGAAGTAAGGGGCGCGGCCAGGATGAGGGCAGCGCAGATTGGCGATTTTAGGGCGGGGCGGGGCGGCAGTGAGGGGCTGAGATTGATTGACCGCGGGGGCCGCAGAGCAGATACCCGGCCGCCTGCGGCAGCTCGCTAGGGCTGGGCGCGCCGCGTCTGGGTCCACGCCCGCCGAGCTCACGCTGGCCGGGGCCGGGGCGCCCGCGCACTCGGGGCTGGTTTCAGCACTCGTTCACGGTCTTTGTGTCTTCTCTCCCGCCCCTGTCTCCCCGCCCGCCTCCTCCGGCCGCCACGATGCCGATGCGCCCCGTTGCCGCCACCGCCGACTCGCTCCGCCCGCGGCGCGCTGCTCGCTGCGGCGGTGGCGGCGGCCGGTCTCCGTCGCGGGCCTGAAGGAGAAAGAAGAGGAAGCGAGGCGCGCTCCTCGGCTCATGCCTCAGCCACGGGCCGCGACCCGCCACGGCGCCAGCGCCGCCGCCCTCGCCGGAGCCCACGAGACCTGTATGGACGGGCATGGGCTTGAGAGCAGCACCTTCCTGCGCCGCCGCCGCCGCTGCCGCCGCCGCCGGGGCTGAGCAGCGCCGCCGCCCCCCACGGCTCTCCCCACCGCCGCTGGAGCTGCTGCTGCTGCTGCTTAGCCTCGGGCTGCTCCACTCAGGTACGACGCGCGCGCGCGAGGGGCGCCAGCCCCGGGGCCGAGGGCTTTGTTCCCAAACAGCCCTAGGTCCCGAAGGCGCTCGCTGGGCCGGAGCGCGTCGTGGCGCGACGAGAAAGGCCTCCCGAGTCCCTGACAGGCACCTTAGCTGGGCTCACGGTGCGGCGGCGGGAACACACTGGCTTCGGGCGCGGAGGAGAGCCCGCTCCGCCCTCCCCGCCTGCGCCTCGGACCGTTGATAAATTTCCCCTCCAACAGCCGCTTATCAAAGATTTAGCGGGCGGGGGCTGAGCGCCAGAGACAAATGTTCCGGATGCTTTATTGCTTTCTGCTTTGGTGTTTACTGAAAGTCAGGCTCGGATCAAGTTTCCGCCGCCGCAGCCGCCTCGGAGGGAGACGGGAGCCTTGTGCTGCTCCTCTGACGTTGGGGGTGGCGGCGAGGCGAAGGAATCGCACCAGATGGAAAGATTTTCACCAGAGTTTGAAAACTTGAGAGTCCATCTCAAGTCACGTAAACTTTTTTGAACGGGGATTTCTTTCGTTTTTGCAAAATCTGCTTTTAATTCAGCGTTCGGTCCTCTGGAAAAAACTCGTGCTTTGTGACTAAGTCGCGTGTTTTCAGGTTCCGTGAGGAGTTGACAGATAATCATGCTGCCTTTGGAGGTCTGCGCTTCCCCAGCGTTGAGGAATATGTTCTTAGGGATGAGTCTTATAGCTGTAATACCTGTGTTTCTTTTTGAAATCATTTCGTTACAATCTAGGATGCTCTTCACAAATAAGTTACACTTTTTAGGAGCTGGCCTAGACAAAGAATTTTTTTAATACCACAGTTGAAAGGGAAATTTTTTTTTTAGTTTGAGAACAACCAGAGCATTAGATAAGTTTCTTTTGAGGCCTTTTTGTCCTGTATTTGTATGATAGCAGTCACAACTTTCGGATCTGGAGAAGCTTGAGCTTTAATGCCACCCAACTGTGCGGAGTAATTTTTATTTATTAAATCACACCCGCCGTGCTAAAAAATCAGGGAGGTCTCTTAAGTATGGAAAAAAAAAATGTGACATTTGAGAAAACGACTTAATTTACCTTGCGCAACTTTACATTGTGATGTAACAGTTGCATGTTAACACTGTGGGGGAGGGAACGGACTAGCAGTCTTAATGAAAAGGTAATAGAAAGTTATTGAATGTAACAGCTTTAAATTAGTAACTTTAGAATCTTAGGAAATAATATCAGTCTGCTTGCAATTATATGGAAATTTTTTCTTGGTGTGTTAAAAGGTATTCAGGAGTGTTTTGTGTGAGGAAAAATAAGTGTCCATAATGCCAAAGTGTGCATTTCATGAAATAGAAATTGAAATGCTAGGAGGGGCTGTATCCCCTTTAGCCACATGAATATTGTTCCCTTAAGGTGCCATAGGATCCTATGACAGGATTGGAATGTGGGCCTTGAAGATTTCTTTACGGGCTTCTGAACGGTGTAAGAAGCTGGCTTAAAGGTTTAGAAAATGAAGATGCCTTAGTTCAAATATTTGAAACGGGTAGCTCTTCTCAGTATCTTAATGTGTCCTCACTAAAGTCACCATTAGATTCAACCTGATGTGCTGTGCTGTGTGATTTCTGTGGACAGCGTGCTGGAGTGGAGCAATGAATCTGGTTATGGAAGAAAGGGCTCCTTTGAGAGATCTCTTTGAAGAGTGGTGCTATTTAAATGGTCAGGCCGTTTCTCAGAACAGGGAGCCTAGCAAGTGCTCTTTGCAGATGGACTACCATATGTTTGATGTCTGGATCCATATCATTTGCCTCAGCACCCCATATGGCTCTACATTTCACTTAATTCAGCTTCAGAATATCTCATTTCTTTTATTATAAACTGGTGATTGTGCTACAGATTCACACGTGCAGTCCTGGCGTTAAGGAAATTGTCTGGAATGGTGAAGCCTGTATGTGTGATCTGTTTAAAAAATGAAATGAAAGCTCTAGACCCACAAATCTTTTAGCATTTTCAATAACTGGCATGAAAATATCGTCAATCCATTCATAGATGTCTCTAAAAAATAGAGACAATTCTAACTGCAGCGTTTTAAATTCTGTTTTTGGGAAATGAAAAGAGTACTTTTGGTCGGTTTTTGTTTTTGTTTTCCTGGCTGTTGGGTTTTTTTTAAAGCAGTTCCTGAACGGAGATCCAATATGGCAGTTACTTGCTTACTCATATACTTCATGGCCTTCTTGGCTACATCCTTAAGATTGTTTCTGCTCTACATTGTCTTGGCATTTTGACAGGAGGCTTGCTTTACCGCCTGTAACAGGCAAAGTGTGCGTTATCATTATAAATTCATGAAGCCTGGATATTTCTGGGTGTATGCTACAAATTAGTCATTATACAGGAGCCTGTGATGGAGCTGAAAATGCTGACCCAAACACACTTTTCTCCCTAGTTAGCCCTCCTCCCTCCCATCTCTATAACAAAAGGCTGTTAGAAACCTTATCCAAAGCAAAAGAACCCAAGGAATTCTGTTTTATGTGAGATTTCTCAAAGCAATCAGTGCCTACCTGCTATGGAAAAAGGAAAGGCTAGCAGGGTAGGGAGGAAGGTACAAAAAGGGAGCTGAGAATCTAAATTCTGCTTCCCTTCTGAACGGTTCCATCTGCATTTCCATATTCTTACTTTTGGTATTTTATGACTATTTGAAATAATTATAAGTAAATGTATGCTCGGATAGATTTTATAGACCATAAAAAAACAAATAGGCACTGCAACTTTAACAGAAAGTTCTTGTGCTGTCATTTATTTGTAATTGAAGATAGCTGTTCATTACTAAGATCTTGGCCTTCTCTTTATTTCTTTGCTTTCTGCTTGCTGTGAATCTGACTTAAAAAGAAAAATAATACAAGAGTTACTTGTCTTTTTTTCCAGCCATCAAGTACTGTTGTTAGAGTTAGGAATTTAGGGGGAGACATGACCTGTGGTGGAAGGAAAACAAGATTTGAGGAAAATCACCACGTACTGGCTTAATAATAGCTATGAGTGATCCAGCCAGGATGAGGCCATTAATATCTCTTTGCCCTGGTTTTCCCATCTGTAAAATGGCCTTAACGCCTTTTAGAGTCTTTGGTTGGTTTATGTTTTGTTTTGGGGATTTTGTTTGTTTGTTTGGTTGGTTGGTTGTTTTTTGTTTGTTTTTTGGGGTTTTTTTTGTTTTTTTTTTTTTAAGTAAAAATGGCTGAAAATGACTTGATCTGCGTTGGAGATAGGAATTCTTTAAATGTCAGGGCTGCTTTTGTCAGCTTTGGCCTGAGCAAACATAAAATAGATCAAACACATGAAGATGTGTTTGTGATTTTTTTTAAGTGTGATTTGATGATTGCTGTAAATCCGTAGTTCCAAAATATTAAAATATTTTAATCTTCTTTTTTCCTTGGGCTAAAGTGAATATCAAGGCTAAACCATAATATTTTTTCCTCTTTGGTTTTTGAAATTTAAAAATGATGACAGAGTAGTTGCCTTCGGAGGTTGTCCCCTCCCATCCTTTTCTCCTGAGTAAAGCCAGAAACAGATTACAGGCTACTTCATTCAGATTTAAAAGCAGTTTACCACTGAAAATATTAAAATAGCTTTCTAAGACAATATTAAGGTTGATTTTAAGTCTTTATCAGATGAAGTCCTAAATCTTAATATTATCCTAAAGCTTATTGTATCTTCATCTTTAAATAATTATGTATTTAATAATAATCAATTGGCCCTGAATTTTTTTCCTTCGTCTGGAATACATGTTATAAGATATTTTATGCCTGGAGAAGATCACAAAGTTTGTCTTAGAACAACCTCATTTCTCAGATGAGAAACCTAAAACTTGAAGAGATTGATTAGAGCACATGACTCACCTGGTATCGACAGTTCTTGTGTTTGTGTTTTTTGTGCTTTAAGAGGTTTTATAAAGTTTTGCTTGAGAAGTTAGTGGCAAAAACATCATTTGGAAATTGATTTTTTTTTTAATATAGTTCAGTAATACTTGAATTTTCATTACATCATTGTAGCTTTGTTTGTTAATACTTTGCCACACTGGAAAAAAAAAAATAGATTTTCTTTTCCTTGGGGCCATGGTGTTTTATTACAAAAATGGAGTAAAAACTTCAAAAACAAAAGAATCCTTTCTAATTTAGTGAAAAATTCGTTATTTTTTTTTATTGTTTTCTCTGTGTGAGTTATACTCAACTTGAAAAATAGTTCTCAAGGTTCCCAAGGTGAAGAGACATGAGTGACATATGTTTTGCCAGGCCTCGGGCTCAAAACTATTGTGAGTTAAATACAACTCCTATGGCAGTTAATGTGTTAAATCATTAAGTTTATGTGAATTGTTGCTTTAAGGACAAAAGTAAGGTTTATGTATACTCTAAGAATTCTGTGCTTTATAGTTCTCTGGTTCTTCTTCTGAAAAAACCATGATTGGGATCATCTGTCTCTGCAGCATAATTTCAAGGTATTATACTTATGTACTTTTTATTTAGCATACCTTTACTTTTTAGTGTAGTTTTATTTAGCAGACCACTTATTTGTGGTCTGCTATGGAGCTCGGATCCTAGTATAATAGAAATGGATGTTAAGGGAGAAGTAAATACATAGTTTGGTCAAAAGAATCACGTTATTTTTTTTTTAAAAAGAGCATTTACATTTTGTAGAAACCAGGAAACTGTGTCAGTTTATGTACAATTTATTGGTAAACGTGCCTCGGGAAAGGTAGAGTGACGTAGTACTTGGATTTTTTTTTTTTTTTTATTCTTACCCGGTAGCCAGACAAGTAAATCAGGTGAAGGTGTTTTAAACTAATCATACTATAATTTAGGATTTTACCCCTTCCTAAGGTGTGGAGGCTTTAATCATGGTTTTGCTTTTACAATGCTTTCTGAAGCAAATCCATGCAGTTTTCAAAATCAAAACAAAGTTCATATCTTTGGGTTGGCCTTAGAGTAGAGAAATCTTTCTCAAAATCTATAAATAAATAGCTACATCGATAAAACATTTTACGTATTATTCCCTTGTAATTTTAACCTATAAGCACTGGACTGATCTTACGCTCACTCACAATAACCTGTGCTTTAAAGTTTTAAGTTAACTAATTGCATGCAGTTTTTCTCCCAGTGGCTTAATTTGAGAGAGGCACAGGAGCACAGTGCAACCCTATTCCTGAAGGCTTCCTAAAATAGGAGTATAGTATGTAAAAAAGAACAAACAGTTCTTGGGGTAGAATGTCATTTTCTCATGTAGCTCAGGAAGTTATGAAGCATTTACAAATGTTTGGTCTTGTCGTCTTTCCCATAGGTGACTGCCAACAGCCGGCCCAATGTCGAATCCAGAAATGCACCACAGACTTTGTGTCCCTGACTTCGCACCTGAACTCTGCCATTGACGGCTTTGACTCTGAGTTTTGCAAGGCCTTGCGTGCCTATGCTGGCTGCACCCAGCGAACTTCAAAAGCCTGCCGTGGTAACCTGGTGTACCATTCTGCTGTGTTGGGTATCAGTGACCTCATGAGCCAGAGGAATTGTTCCAAGGATGGACCCACATCCTCTACAAACCCTGAAGTGACCCATGATCCTTGTAACTATCACAGTCACTCAGGAGCCAGAGAACACAGGGGAGGGGACCAAAACCCTCCTAATTACCTTTTTTGTGGCTTGTTTGGAGATCCTCACCTAAGAACTTTCAAGGATCACTTCCAAACGTGTAAAGTGGAAGGGGCCTGGCCACTCATAGATAATAATTACCTTTCGGTTCAAGTGACAAATGTACCCGTGGTCCCTGGATCCAGTGCTACTGCTACAAATAAGGCAAGTATGCCTTCTTTTTTCTCTCTCCCTACTCATAACTTTTAGGTGTTTGACTCTTCAGGTAACTTTTGAAATGTGTATAAAAGGCATAGTTTGAAAGAAGCTTTTGTCTTTTTGGAAAGCAATTAAATAAATTGTTAAAGGGTTAAATAAAAATTATTTAGCAAGGGATTTCTCTCTGGAATGTAAAATGTGGCTCTAAATTTAAGTAGGCAACGATATGAAGAATGAAAAGTAAACAGTGAAATTGAGTTCTCCAGGGAAAAGGCAGGCCTATTTCAATAGAAAAATGTGTGCTTTTTTTTCAGTGATAACTTTTTTGAGTGCATATTTATGACTCTTCTTGAAGAAATCTAGGTTCAGATTTATTAGATAACTGAAGTAGATGTTCTGAATAAAGAAAGCTGTGAAGCCGGAGGCAGTGACCCATCAGGAGACACTTTTATTGGAGATTTGGAAGCTATAGTAAAATGTAGTGGCAAGAAGTCAGCTTCCCAATGGCAAACACACAGTGGTGTTTTAGTTACTAACCTCTTGGTGACTAGGGAGGTTAAGAATTGGATATTACAGGGCCACGATATATAACTGCCATGTAATCTCAAGGCCTCAGGTTAACAGTTTAAATCAGAGCTAAGCTAAGGGAAAGGCTGATAAAATTAAGTTAAGCTTACCATGCATGCCCAGCTGCCAGTGTCCATGGTCCATGTTTGTTTGCTTTGAACAAACTAATACTGTACAGAGATCTTTGAAGCTAACTTGAAGGTACCAGTATCTGAGTGCAAGTAGGTAGAGAGGAGCTATGAACTGGGTTTCTGATGCCAGTCAGTGCTAATTCAATCATTAGTAAATAAAATCGGAAAGGGTTTTCCACTAAAATGGTGTCCCAAGTAATCACCTCCTTCCCTGTCTTCCCCAACCACTAAACCATACCCAGACCGTCTCCTCTTGCTTAATTTCCTGTATTTATCTATTCATAAATTGGTTTAGACTAAAATATAATTGACAGGGATCAAGCTTTTGAAATACTTATAATTGTTCTTTTGATTCCCAGGCACCCGCCCTTTCGTCTAAACATGTGTGGCATATTTTGTAAATGAATTTAAAGTATTTTGCTTGGCATTTTATGGAGGGAATTTTACAACACCTCAGGAGATAGCTGGAGGTACCCAAGGGTGTCACAAATCTAAGATTAGAAGTCAGTGCTCTGAACAAAGAATACTGTTAAAAACACTGGTCCAGACATTTTAGGGGAACTCCAAAATGTTTATACTTCAGCTGCCAGTAAAAATTTGAGCTTGTCTTTTGCCTTACCAAATTCTACATCTCAAATTATTCTCCCTCTGGTTTTTGTACATATGCAAATCATTTCTTTCTTTCTTTCTTTCTTTCTCTCACTCTCAGAATATGCATTTGCTACAAGTTATAAAGTTATATAATTATGAAGTTATAAGAAAAATCATAGCCAAAAATCCATCATTGCTGCAAAGTCATAGGATGCATGCAACCTGAGAATAGTCTTTGGGTAACTGAAAATTCAGGAAGATAATCTTTTGAGAATGGAAAAAGTCATCATCAGTTGTGCAAATAATTGAGGACTTGAAGGAATAACTTTCAAACAAGACGATAGAGATTAATAAGAGCTGTTTACGTGAGGAAATAGTGGTTTTTTTCATAAGCCCAAAGATTTTCATGCATTCTGTCCAATCAATGTCACTTCTGTTTGTTATTAAATCTTTAGAAATTCTATGCATTTTATTGATTATAGTGAAACTATTTGGGGGATAACAGTAACATGAGTATTAATATTATATAAATGGAACAATTTACACTAAGTACTTAAGATCATTGTATTTCAGCTGTTGAATCTATCATAATTTTTAGCAAATAAATAAAAAGTACAACTTTATTTTCTCCCTCAGTTTGGTGAGGAGCGAAGGTTTACCTAGTCTAAAAAAAAAAAGAAGAGTGGTCCCTGACATAAATTCAAGTGGAGAGTGAGAATACTTGGTCTTTAACTGCACTATTGGAAAGTATTTCCCCACATCTGGTAACCATGCTGTTCAACAACAAATTACTCTATGCCTTCACAACCTCTAGTAGTTGGTTTTTTGGTTTTTTTTTTACATCTTTTTGAAACTCACTCTAAAGCTCCCATAAGAATCTGGAAGGTTACTCTTGAAGACTCATGTTAATGCTAAAGACCCTAAGCATGGAAAAATGGTGGTAATGAAACGATAGGAGACACAAAATCTTTAGGAAATTTTTTTCATAGGTGTCCCAGCTTTGTAGAGAACTTAAGCACATACATAGACCAGTTATTGGGTAACTCAGCACTGTACATGGTAGATAATGAACCATCCTTGTGTGGTCAAGGGTTTTTAATGGCCCATATATGCTCAGTTTCACTAAAGACTGATGATATCATTGGCTGGTTGGCCCGCTCTGATACCGAAATTATATTTAAACATCTGTTCATTTCATTACCTTTAGCACTGCCCTGAAGCACTGGACCCAAGGTATTTTGCTCAGTGAGGTCACTAAGATGACTACTCAGCCCTGGGAACCTGGCCTATTGAGCAAGCCATCTTCAAGCCTAAGCTTGTGAGCTCTACCTGCCCATAAGTACCCCCCTTTCCCTCATCACGGAAAGACAAAACGGGAGAAAGCTAAATGCAGTGAAAGAAAGTGAAGTCATCTGTGCTCAAGGGGCCACTTATTAGCTAAGTCTTGACTTTTTTTCTACATGGTGAGCTATGAGTGCAAGGCAGATAGTCTTGCAGCGCTCGATGGTGTTGCCTTATCTCCCCTGGTTTACTGTTCTCTTCCTTACCATGGCCCTTCTCTTCCCCTTGCCTGGGAAAAATAGGGCTCGCTTTCCTGCTGGTCATGTCATACACAGGTATGCTTTCTCGGGGCCTCTGTTTTTAGTTTTGCCTTCCACCAGCCTTTTATACTCTCCCTCTTTGGAGGAGTCTGTAGCAGTTGGCCACCTTGCCAGGTAGGTGTGTTACTGAAGGGGAAGCCAGGGCTGGTTTTTCATCTCTACACCCCAGGGGCTATAGGACTATCTGGCACACCTGCATACCTCGGCTTAGGTCCACATCAGCTCTGGGCTATCTTCCCCACCTTTGGCTGGGAGAGGTAGCTGCGGGCTTGCAGGCACTGGAGGAGAGAGAGATGAGAGGGACAGTCTCAGAACTGGCAGAGTTAGCTATGCTCGAAGGAAAGGCAGTTTTGTTTGTGGTATGGAGGTAGCCTATACATTATAGGCTCCAGAGAAGACACCTATCAGTAGCTCTCCTGTGCCTCACACACAGGAAAACCCAGGTCATCTGTGAGGATGCTTGGCTTCTTCCACATTCTCTCCTTGCACATTTTCTGAATTAGCCTCTCAGTCGCAACTCCCGTTTAGTCCATTCTGCTTATCTATGTATCAGTTTAAGTGGGCCCAGTAAGGATCTGTGGATACCATGATCATAGAAGGTGATCATGGAGTAAATTCTTTATTTTATGAAAGACACTGAACTGTACAAATGAATTCCTAGGCTGGATACGGTGGCTCATGCCTATAATCCCAGCACTTTGGAAAGCCAAGCTGGGAGGATCACTTGAGGCCAGGAGTTCCAGACCAGCCTGAGCAACATAGTGAGACCCTGTCTCTGCAAAAAATAGAAAAATTAGCCAGGCATGATGGCATGTGCCTGTAGTCCCAGCTGCTTGAGAGACTGAAGCAGGAGGGTTGCTTGAGCCCAGGAATTTGAGGTTGCAGTACACTCTAATCCAGGCGACAGAGTAAGACCCTGTCTCAAAAAATAACAATAATAATAATGTATTCCTAGTAGCATGTATTAGAACTGTCAGTCTCTCAAGTGCATTTAAGATGATTCCTTTTCCAAAAAAATTCGAGCATTCATTTATTATTAAATTGTACATCTAAACAATGATTTTTAATAGCATTTATATTGTTAAATAATGGTATTATTTAATACCATTATATGGCAGTACAATGACAATATTTCTAGTAATTATTTTTTTACAGGTAATTTGGTTACCTTTATTTTTCCTTTTGTTTTAATGTTAATCATACTCTTTTTCACCACTCTTGCTTTCTTATCCTATTTTTCAACCTCAATAAAACAAAATAAAAAACAGGAGGGGAGATTAGGGGTGACAGCAGGTCCTGGTCCAGGTCCTCTGCTACATATTTTACTGTGCTTCTACTTGAGTGAGAGAAGGTGGTTTACCTTAAGGCAGTTTGCCTTTGGGAAAAGGATGTGTTCTTTGTGCTTGACCAAACCAGATGACTGTTGGCCAGGCGAGTGGACACTCTGAGCTGCCTGCCTTGTATGTTCTTTCTGCTGCCATGGACCACCAGCTCCTGTGATCCACAGGCAGCACTCAGCACCTGTCCAAAGCACAGTAGGAGGCCCTGCCTATCAAGTATATATAAATATTTTAAATTTCATAGTTATCCCTGAATCTCAAGTTGTATGGCTACTTTCGTGTGAGTTCCTGAAAACTTGCACCGGTTGATGATACTAGAGATACAGAAAGACTTAGTTTGGTTTACTCTTGATTAATGTCTTCCTCAAATTGTATAACCCAGGGTTTTCCACTGTGATGAAACATCATTCCTTTATAGGTTTCTAGAGCATAAGGTGGGTCCACTCCTGCTTTCTGATGCCCCTTTGCATGTAGTTATTACTCCACAACAGCATGTGGGCATGTAAACCAGTGTTCTGGGTCATTCTCTGTTGGTTACAAAATCAGAGCCAGACATACCTGTATTGCAAAGGCTTTTAACTGTCATTGTAAGTATATCTCTGCATCGAGATTTGGAAATCTGTCCTACGTTGATCCCAGGCCTAGTGCATTTCTTGTAGCCAAGGTTTTGCAGTCCCTTATGTATTTAGTATCTTTACCAAGACCTATGTGAGCTACACAGTGGTGATCATTCTTATTTTTAGGGGCTAAGGAAGATGCTCCTTCCATTGACAGGA